AATTAGACTTCTTAGGACCTGGGAAATAAGTCTTGATGATGTTCCTTGACTACTGAAAAATAATTTAGAGTTGTTTAGCTTCTTTTCTGTAGAGGGCAGATTCTCAACTAGCCACAATACATAAGAGTACAGTATTTTCTTTTTTAAATAATTCAATCTAAATGCTATTTGTCCCCCATGATACACCAGTCTTCTGGATTATCTCACTATTAGTGGCTTTGTCCCAGCGTCCTGCTGCTTAACAAATTTGTTTGAGGAAAACATATTTTATCCTATAATTAAATGGAAGGCACTGCTGGATGGACATTATCTTGTATTATAGTGCCTTCTATTATGCTAATATATCACCACAGTTCTGTCACTCCAATGACAAGACTGTAATACATCATCAAAACACTTTGCAGTAATGATATATCACTTAAAAGATGAAGCTAACAAAGTGAGTCCAAGAGCAGATTCAATTTAATTACAGGATAAAGGGATTCCTCATCATTCACGCTTGGTGATGAATTAACCTAGAAATGAATGAAAGCCTTATATGAAAGAAGGAACACTAAAGGGAAGATAAACAGCGGAGACAAGCAAAACAAAACAAAACAAAACAACAACAAAAAAGGCCAGGAGACAAATGCGGGCATGGAGATACTTGGAGCAAAAGCTAAAAAAAAAAAATAATAATAATCTAACCGGCAATACAAGCTGCACTATGTGTCTGACCGCAAGGCTCTGAAGCCAATTTGCATTTTACCAGAACACCAAAATAACTTAGCAGACAAATCTAACTGTAAATGTTTGCTTTACGTGCCCAAATGCCATTCTCTTTTTTTGGAGCAGCTGGGCATACCATTAGATGCCCACATTAATTGGGGTCATTGTTGCTTTCATGGTTTGGAGAGGAAAGGAACAACGTGGATCAGAAAGAACAGGAAGAAAAATCTGCTTTGAGCTGGTTTCGTTGAGCCTGCCAGTCAAACAAACAGCAACGCAACATTTTAATTCAGATCACCACGTAGGAAAAGAAAACATCATTAAGCTTAATTATAAAAAAAAAAAAGTGGAAGGAAGAAAAAACCTGCTTTTAGTTATTCATCTCAAAGTCCAAGGTTAGCAGGCAGTATCAGTTTAGTTTCTCATACAGTCAGAAACTTAAAGGCATAAGCTTCCATCTACAAAGTATAATATGCAGTTTGTGCATAATTATTATTAAATGGCATATTCACAACAGTGGCTAAGTTATGTTTAGTAAAGAGCTACATCACTGGCTGATCTAGTTTATCCTTCCCTTTGTACAAAGAATAGGATATCCATCCATCTTCGTCTTAAGGCTTAACTGTGAACTGATCCCATGCTAGGTACAGGTGGCCCTACAAGAGTTTTCAGTTCAGCTTCAGTGTGAGCTAGTATCCCATCACCGAGATGTTGACTGGAACTACTCTACCCTTGTGAATCTTCAAAGGTCAGGCTGGAAATATCTTGAGGATGGCTCTCTTAGGGTATTTCTGGCACATGGGCATGCAAATTTTCCAGCTGAAAGCCACAAGGGAAGATAACTTGTATCTGAACACATCAGAGCCCCTGAAATTACCCAGGGCCTTTACAGCAAGGGAGCCTTCTATTTATTCATTTTCCTGTGTATTTATATGGCACCTTTCATCATACTGTCCAATTGCCTCGTAACCGTGAATATATTTATCCTCCCAAGACTCCCTTGAGGTAGCTCAGTGCTGTTATTTTACAGATGGGGAGCTGAGGCAGAGAGAAACTAAGTGATTTGCCAAAGGTCACATATGAAATCTGTCCTGGCGCTGGGACTTGACTCCCCAAATCCTAGGCTAGTGCCCTAACTAGAGTACCATCTCTATGGGAATAGTGCTGGTGAACCATGTGCACTGAGGTGAGCTGAGCAGGTGAAGCCATTGCTGGTCACCCCACGAGAGCCAATATCAGGCCCTGTCTTTGGGCAAGTTACCAGTCACTGGATCAAGTCTACCTGACACCAGGGCCTTGCTGTAAACTTGAACTCTACCATAATCATCTCCTCTTTCATAAAACGGGAATAACAATATCTCCTTTGTAAAGAGCTTTATGATAGACAGATGGGGAAAAAAATCCTATAAAAGAGCTTGATTATATACAAGTGCTACCACAAGAGAGAGGAAGAGAGACAATTTTCAAACATGAGTTTGACAAACATCTCTGGTAGTCTATCCTACCACTGCTAAAACTACAGTGTGGAGCCAGAGCATGGCTGGAATCAGTTACATGGGCTGGAACAGCTTTTTGCCAGCCAGAAAACTAATGCTTTAGCTGCAAATCTTTTCAATGAATTAATTACCTCAAACAAGTTTAGGAACCTTTCTGTCTTGCAGGAGACCGTTTTCCCCTTGCAGTCCTTTCTGGTGTATGTGAGAAATTGGTTTCCTTAGGCAAGCTTTTTATTATGCAAATATCTGGTGAGCACTTACTATGATGGTCTTTATTGTGTTATATTTCACAGTTTTGATCTTAATGAATGCAATTGCAGCCCTGAGCTCTCTCATGCAACACTGGTAGAAGAAACAGCAGAATAAACCTTAGAGCCTTCCTTTCTCACAACTTCTAATGAGAACCTCATTGACCCCAGAAAACATGGAGATGTTGGCTTACAGAACAACTGGGACCAGGAATTAAGACTTCACCCTGAGTCCTTGTAGGACGCTTATGCACTTTTAAAAATAATAATAATAAATGGAGATATCCTATCTCCTAGAACTGGAAGGGACCCTGAAAGGTCATGGAGTCCAGCCCCTTGCCTTCACTAGCAGGACTAAGTACTGCTTTTGCCCCAGATCCCAAAGTGGCCCCCTCAAGGGCTGAATTCACAACCCTGAATTTAGCAGGCCAATGCTCAAACCACTGAGCTATCCCTCCCCCTTTTGAGATGAAGGCTTGATAGGGAGCTCACTTTGTAGGCAGAGTGAACTTGTCAAACAGTGGCAGTTTATAAAGGTACCTTGGATCTCGGATTCTATTCTGTATAATTTTATATACCCCCTTATTACTGTTGTATCGGAATGCTTTTAATCAATGTGTCAGGTGTGGCTAATTTTGTTTCTCATCCTCTGCCCCAGGCGAGAACTGTGTGGAAGTGTAGTGCTTTGCTTGGGTAGAGTTGATTTTAGATGGTAGATTTAAAAACAACAATTAGAAGACATTGTCACATATAGGGCGATATACATGATGCTGTCCATCTGGAAGACAGAGGGAATCAAAAACCAAAACCAAGATAGTAAAGCAAGGATAATAATATATCACAGGCAATAAAGTTTCCAGAGCCTCTGGAATAACAGTCAGTCCTTCCCTTTCAAAAAAACCCACTCAAAGGCAGATGACTTGCCTTCTAATAAATAAAACTCTACCTGAATGTGGAGTGGATCTTGGCACACTAATGATCCAGGAAAAGTTTTTCTAGCAAAGGGCAAATGATGAAATCCCTTCAGTTCAGATGTTGAGCCAGAGGAGGTAGGGCGAGTAATGCTTGACCTGATTGTTCAGTGCTGTGCACAGATTTTATAGTAGGGTAAAAGGGGAGCAACAGAAGAAAAGAGAACTACGAAAGATGGGTTGCCGGCAGGTTTGCCTTCCCAATTCCAGATGTAGCCATTATCTACTGGTGCATTTATTCTCTGAGCACACTGACTGTGGAACGCTCCATCTGTATCCTTTCCACCTCACCTATTGCTTGATTGTGCTCCTATAACAATGGGTGAATCTCAAGCACTTCAGAGGCTGAAGTTGGATACACACCCAAAAACTTGGATCTTTAGCTAAATTATCTGAAAAACCTCTTGCGTGTGTATATATAGATTGGGCTGCAGATCTCATGAGAACTAGTTCCAATATTTCCTGGGTTTGGTTGGGCTGGAATTTAATGATTTCTGGTGTCTCCTGCTTTTGGTCAGGTAGGAAAAAAAAAACTAAACAACAAGTGGCCTATCGTATTATGGCTCTTCTACTTCCAGAAGTATCATGAACTTGCTTTGGACCCTCTTCATCTCCATGGAAGAAGAGCATTTTGAGGAGGGATATCAATGAAAAGGTGATGACTACCTGGCGGATGTGAACAGGATTGCGCTCCCAGGTTATGAGGAAGCACAAAAGTAGACATACAGGCCAAAATAAGAGAAGGATGCAAAGTGATAAAGGAGCCTTGGCAAGTTATCCTTGGAGGCTTGCAGATCTTGGAAGCACAGCACAGTTTCCATCCCCCCAGCTTTAAGGATGGATGCATTGGCACTGTTTATGCAGTACCTATTCAATGGCTACTCATAGGATTTCCAATTCCAGGGCTGTCCAGCCAGCACCATTCAAGTATAGTGAATTTACTAAGTTTCTTTTTAAAATATTGAAGGATAAAATTATATCATGGGCTAAGGTGAGCCATAATACCACAAAAACACACCATGATCTTTAGCCCAGAATGTGATTTGAATTAACACAGTGGTTCAAAGAGCCTTTTGGTTGGCCCATATTTTCTTGGACAAGTAAGAGGCTAAGGTCTAGTAAGGCTCCATTTAAGTCCTCACCTAGTTGAAAGAACATTCTAGTTATGCCATCGGGGGAAGGGGGAAAAAAAAACCCACCGCCATTTGCTTTGTTTTCCCATGTGTCTCTTTACCCTGCTGGTAACAGAAAAATAAAATGCCTTAATGTGTTACATGTGCATGCTCTATTTTGCTGATTGGCTATTTGCTTTCAGCATTATTTATCCATGTCGTTTTTAAATTAAGATTTTATGCATAGCTCTCTCAAGATTATGGTAATTTAATTTGGAAAATTGCTCTAAGTGAATGGAAAAAATATAACCCCCCCACCCTCTTCATTTTTCAGATGACGACCAGCCTTGTCATTTGAAAGTCTAAATGAACAGACCCCACTGCATGTCTTTATTATGCTTTGCAGCTATCTCGGCCAATTCTCTGTTACTTGTGCACACTGTATAACAGAAAATAAATCCTAACCTGAGGTCCCCAGCCGTGGCATGGATACAGTATTGCTGTGTGGTTCTCCTGTGGACCCTGGTCAAGGCATACATCTTTCGCTTTGTTGTTACGAAGCTGTAGAAACAAACATTGCATATTTACGTGTCTGTCCCTTACGGGAGGGAAGAATGTAACCCATGATCACAGTGAAGTCCCCGGCCTTTAGTGTTATGGAAAAGAGAAGATGCTTTACCACATCATACGCAATAGGTTTCTGTGCTGCATACACAATAGTTTTAATAATGACTTGCATTTATACAACAGCCACCACTAAAAACCTATTGTTTACTGACAATTGCAATGATTTCAGTTGCCTCTGTATTTAGGATATTAGACATGTGTGGTGGTGATGTTTTCAAGTCTTCCACTGTATGGTTTGGGGGGGTCAATGCAGTACTCCTTATTCCTTAGCCTGAAGTGCTCTAGAAGCCCTGAAATAAAATTCAGAGTGTCTTATGTGGGTGCAATGATGGAGTGTGTGGGAAAGAGGGCACCAGGAACCCTTTTCATGCTACCATGAGAGAGCAGGATGGGACACAGGCCTAGCGACTAGGCAAAAGTCCCAACCCATTTGCTCAGGGACCCAGAGGACGCCGTCAGCCATTTTGGAGACATGCTCAGAGCTCTCAGCTCTTGTGCCCATGTTGCAGTTGGCAGCAAGCACTGGCAACACCCCTTTTCGGAAGAGTAATAGAGAGCATAGGGATCAATGCAGTGCTTCTTGTGGGCAAGACTGCAGAGTGTTTATAGCTTTTAAATCATAATGCTGATCCAAGCTGTGGCTGCAAGTGAAACTGGCGCAGTGTTGACCTTAGTCAGGAATTTTTAAGGAACTTAGGAGAAGGAGGGTAACTGAGGGATGGGAAATACTACTGGCCTGGGAAAAATTGAGGAAACTGAAAAGATCTTTTAGGCTCAAGGAGAAGCTTGCGCATACTAATACAGACATGGTGTAACATTTATACTGTAAAGTGAATGAAATGTTGAGAGATGAGTCAAGCACTGAGATTTGCTAATGTGTACAGTCATTTGTTCTCCAGAATCTCCCCATAGACACCAACTGAAGTTATATCACATATTAAAAATTCCTGTCTCTATTTTCAGCTTAAAAGACATCAATAACCTTGGTGTGGGACATGTTCTTGGGATCCATGGGCTGTTTCAGCAACTCCGGCAGGGCAGTCATTATTCCATGGGAAATGTATTGCAATGGATCATTACTACTTAATTTCTGTGAATAGCTGTTTTTATAATTCTCTTGTGGTCCCAATGCCAGTCAATACTGAATTCAGTCTCTTTCCATGGCACAATGGTAGGGCTGTGGGGCAAAGGATTACACCCTAGAGAGCCCATATGTCCAGGCCCCTGCAAACTGGCAAAAGTTAGGTCAAGTGTAAATTAAGAAATTACTACATAGGACAGCACATTCCATACACACACATATTATATATATTATAAACACACACACACACACACACACACACACACACACACACACACACACACACACACACAGAGTACTTACTACCAAGTAGGTAGTTACGACGACGGA